AGCTAGGAAACCCACCACGGGCCCCATCCACCCTCCCCCACTGCCCTCTGCCGCCAGGGGTTTGTCCGACCCCTTCTGACTGGGCCCCGAACGAGATGGCAGGCAGTGGGGGGCCTCTCACCCGAACCCCCAGAGTGGGGGAGACAGGGCAAGGGACCCCCCCAGCAGGCAGGGAACCCCCGTTACCCGGAGCAGGTAGTTGAGCCGGGCCAGCGCCTCCAGGAAGATGTCGGCCCCCTTGTTGGAGAATTCGTAGCGCCCGGCGATGAAGAAGAACAGGGTCTTGTCCAGGTTAAAGTCCAGGTGCCTGGGGCAGAGAAACCCCTGAATGTCCAGCCTCCACGCCCCACCCCAGAGCCAGCCGCATCCCAGCGCCGGGCGAGGGGTCCCCGTATACTCAGCCCGCTCGCCCCACCACAGAACCAGCTGAATCCCCACCCAGGAGGAGTCCAGTTGCCATACTACACCTAGCACTGGGGTGAAAGGGGGGGATCTGACCTCACATGCCCCCTTAATCCTCTACAGCACCTCAAGGGGGTAGTACAGAGACAGCAGGTGCAGTATTACCAGCAGCCAGAAGGGGGCGCTGAGGGGAATTCCAGGAGGAAAGGAGCAGGGTCCAGTGAGTGGGGGGGGGGGGGGGGGGGGGCTGGGACCCAGGACTCCTGGGTTCTATCCCCAGCTCTGGGAAGGGAGTGCGGTCTAGTGGGTTGGGGGGGGGGGGGGCTAAGAGCCAGGACGCCTGGGTTCTACCACGGTGGCGATGGAAATACTGTTCCAAGGTTGTGCCTGTGGGACCGAGCAGGTTGGGGCGCCCCAGAAGTTGGGGTGTCAGGGACTCACCCATAGAAATGCCCCCGGACGAACTCCTGGATGTGGGCCTTGCTCTGGGCGTGGAGGTTCTGGAACTCGTGCATGGCAGAGAATTTCTTGACATTCAGGCCGTTGGGGGTCACCATATCTGGGGGGGTGGGGGGGGCAGGAAAAGGGGGGCACCGGAGAGCAGACACGGGGCAGCCATTAGTGGGAAATAACCAGGCCTGGGATTGCCTGTTCTTCCCCACGCTGTTCTATGTGGCTGCTCAACAGCCCCCGCGTTCCACCCCAGAGGGGGCGAATCCCAGTGCTGGACGAGGGGTCCCTGCATACCCATCCCCCGCGTCCCGCCCCAGAGGCCCCCCGCGTCCCCAGCCAGCCCTGCGCCCCCAGCCCCTCACCGGGTTTTCTCTTGAGCAGGTGTTCGGCTTCCACGGCCGTGATCTGGGACACGGTGGTGAAGACGTGGGTGCA